ATTTAACCTTGAATAAAAAAACCTTATTGTTGTGGTGCACAACTCTAAAGATTGAGTGTGAGTGGTATATATAAGGTACATTGGATATTCTAAGGCTTTTGTGAAGTTTTTTTTGTATGTATCAGATTAAAGATTCAATATTGTGATTATAGTGGTTGGTGATTGATTTTTAGCAAAGAGAAAGATTATTTTCTCCTCTATTGAAGACTTCAACAGAACAAAGTGAAGGTAGCTGTAGAACGAAGTTGAGAGTTTTCAAGATCCTTGAGTTGAACAAAGGCTCAGACAAGGTACAATAGGATTGAGAGAAAACTGTTGCGGAATGAAATCTTGGAGCATAACTTTGGATCAAACAAGAATATTGGCTAAGGATCAAGTGAAGATCTTGTGAATTTGACAGTTTTTTGTGTTCTGCCTCAAAAGAAGGAAAATCCAGATTTAGACTTGTGTTGTCTTAAGCAAATTTGACTTGAAGTGTTCATTGTTATCTTGATTATCCGGTGTATAAAAAACTCATGCATATTAATTTGCAAAATAATGGAAGACCTAACGAATTTTCAATGATTCACCATTGAAGACTTGATTAAGTACAAAACTAGAAAGAATGTGCTGAAGCAATATAAATCTGATGTAAACTATCTCTCTCCCTCTCTCTTTTACATTCAAGTATAAATATGCATGATTTAGATTTTCTTTCTTTCTAGAAACACATGTTGATAGGTGTTTATTTGCTTATAGTCATTTATTATGTAAGTGTAGGTCTGTGATATATATATAATCATTCTAATCTTCTTCTGACGATTATGACAATATGAACTCTTAGTATTATATTGATCAGTCGAGTAATCAAATTCAATTGAATCTATGTAAATTAAATTTTTTAATTGATGCCTTGCTCGTTTAAGCAACTTCATCTTTTTCGATTGCTGTGATTAGGGGTGGCAAAACGGGCCCGGCCCGTTGGGCATGCCCGTTTTACCCGCACTTTAGTGCGGTGCAGACCAAAAATTTAGGCCCTCACTCTCTAATATGACCGCCCCAATCCGCTTCATTTTCTTCGCGGGCTTTTGCGGTCATGATTATTAGCATAAATTTTTGCATTTTAGGCTTAAAAGGTGCAGTGCCCACAGGCTTTCTCTGTCCCGCAGTCACTTTTTTGTAAGGTCGGCCTAGGTTTAAGGCCCTCATCCTCAACTATATCCGTTCCGTTCCATTTTTTTGAGGGCTTTTGCGGGGCATGCTTAAACGGGGCGGGCATGCCCATTTGCCATCCCTAGCTGTGATTTTTGATAATCTGAGTTAATTGAGAAATCCATCCAATTTTGTTATCTTTTTCTTCTATTTTGTACTATGTGCTTTAGTTTGTTAAACTCTGATTTTCAAAGAAAATATTTTTGAAAATAATTTTATAGGAGCAGTCTATTCAACTCCCATTCTATACTATTCTATACTCACATTCTCCCCTAACACTCACCACTCTTTTAACAATAAAAACAATTTGTTCATAATCAAATGTGGATTGCACCAATTTTATAAGAAAAAAAGGTCATTTGTACGCATAAATAAACCATATAATCTATATTCAACAAAAAATAATAAAGAAAAAAAATAGGGAATGGTAACAATCACAGCTGAAGAAGTTTAACGTTGGTTTTTACCTTAGTTTGAGACTAGTTCTACGCAACTAAACTTATAATACCACAAAGGCACAAACAACCAAGAACTTTTTTCCCAGTCTCATCTCTTAACACCTCTATGTCGGGGGTCTTTCTCCTTATCATTGTCGTTTCACCTTCATAATCCTCATCGCGGTCGATACCGACTGCCTCATCGTAGTTCTCACTAGCAACATTGTAACGCAAATTGAACTTGAGACTTAAGTCAATTTTTCTGAGCCTAACTTTACTTGTTGCGAGTTAGTGTAAACCCTTCCAACGATATACCAGGCGAGAGCTTGTATTTACCCAACAACCATGTATCTAGCAAAGACCTTTAGTTTACTGATATGTAAAAATTATCCTTTTTGATCCAACTATTCAGTTAGGTATTTATATTATTGGTCCTCCTTTAGGGAGACCAGTTCATTTGCCTAATGTTTCAACCGTATAAGTCAAATCCTGACCAATGAGTATGAGTAGTGAACGAGTAATCTCGTTAATATAAGAGGCGTGGTTAGTCCGTCATCTTTTTTCAAGAAAGTCCTCTTAGTTGTTGGAACATGTTTGGTGAGTCGCCACTATAAAACAGAGGAACATATCTGACTTTTCCTACGTCAGACATGTCATCGATCCCACCCCATATTAGACATATCATTGACCTTGCCCCGCCTCTTTTTAGTACTCTAAGTTGTTCAAATCCATTAACACTTATTGAATTTGAGTTCAAACATAACGGTCTATAATTCCTCGAATATAAGATCGGTAAGGAGGAACTGAATAAAGAAAAAAATTTACATTTTCTTGACCATTATTGCTAGATCAAACATTATTGCCATATTCAATCCCTTAACTCACAATCTAAATATCTCCTTAAATGTATAGCAAGAAAATGTGGTTAAAATTTAAAATGGGGAAGAGGTCGTATTCGTCTTCTATCTAGGAAGATATATACTTTGATTATTTTCTTGGCTTTTAATGAAGATACTGCACACTAGTATATGATCCAGACAAGCATTTATTGCCGACAATTCAACTTTAGGCAAATTAGATTTTAGAGGATAACTTGGCTCCACAAAAGCTCTATCAAATCTAAGAGTCTTAATATTATCGGCCAATAAATTCAATTATCCATTTTATATAATTTAATTTAAATATTTACTTTCAAATAACGATTTTTATTCTCTTATTTATTAGCACACATGGTTTTTTTTAATTATGAGAATTAAAATTTAAACTCTGGTGATAACGTTCGATCTATATAATAATATTGATTTTTTTTATGCATTATTAGCTTGATGGACCATCATATTTAAGAGATGGTTTTGAATTTAATGCATTAAAAGATATTCTTTGGTGCTAGTAACATTTTGGTGTCACTATAGTTAGTTGTGTGTCACTATAAAGACATTCTATCCTTTTGAGCCTTGAAATTTCCCTATTGGACAGCTGTGTCACCTATAATCTCATTATTACTACACTTGAAAAAATGATTCTAACAACTCTTCTGTATTAGATTTAACTTGTAACTATCAAATTTTTCTTATGAGTGAGATTCAAACTTAATATGCTACACTTATCAACATGGTAATAGTTTTCATGGTGATAATTTGAATCACCTTCCATAAGTTTCATGGTGATATAAATTCAAATTTCAAATTCGTTACTCAAATGGAATACTATTAGTTTTAAATGAAGGATAATGTACTTTTTCACTCTTATGAATACTCTCGTATATCTATAAAAAGTTTATAATATGTTTAGTATTCAAAGATGTATTTTCGAATGTATTTATTTTTGTCATTTGTTAGACTAAAATGTGAAGAAATATATTTTTACGTTAAAATTGAATCCAAAGACATATCTTTATATGTAATTTTGATATGTCTGGAGATACATCCGAACACATGAAAGTCAAACTCAAATATATATATATATATATATATATATGACTGAATTTTATTTTATTTTAAAGTGAGTTGCATTTTATTCTTTAACACGATTTTTTAATATTTAAAATTTGAATTGTGATTTTTTTAAATATTAATATATTTTATTCTAATTAAATATTAAAATTTTATGAAATTTTATATGTTTGTTAAATGCTTTAATTAAATTTATTTTTTACTTATAATTTAAAATTTATATTTAGCCCATGATCAGAAAACACTATCCAACCTAATTCATGATTGTTTAAAATAAAAATAAAAATAAAAAGTTAAAAAATATTTCAAAAAAATAGAAAAATAAATATTTAGATAATCATCAATTTTTTAAAGATAAATTCAATAATAATATTGTTAAAGATAAACACTAATTGCCTTTAACAATTCATATTAATGCAAAAAAATATAAAATTTATTAAATATATTTTAATTTTCACAATTAACAACGTTTCATCTGTCACATTGTCACATTTGTAATAGTTATAATTGTTGCAATAAACATTCAAAAACAAAACATCAAGTAAATTTGTAACTTCAAAACCGTTGCAATTGTATTGTCAAGTGAATTTCAAAACTGTCGTAAAAGTTAAAGACGGTTGAAGCGACTGTTTTTCAAACCGTCGTAAAATATGTTGGTGAGACATGATTTTATGACAATTAACCAACATTACAATTTAAATTTAACGACGGTTTGAACTGACAGCTAAAAATAACAATTGTAAATGATTTTTTCTTGTAGTCCAAACATAATAACTAAAAATATAGAAAAAAAATATCATTTTAAAATTAGTTGAGAAAGTTTAGGAGGTAGTTTAATAAAAAACCAAAACTAGAATACCCATTCCTTTAGATTTGAAAAAATTGGCTAAAATGTCCATATGCTAAATGAACTTTCCTAATTGGTCTTATTCTCACTTCAATACCAAATAGCCAACAAAAAAGAATAATTGCAAATATCATATAATAGAACCAAACTTTTGCTTGAAGAGATCATAGGAAGAGACATTTTCTAATGTATTCACAACATGAGGCCACCTTTTCACTCCCCCCCCTTTCTTTATATGAAACCAAAAGCATTACTACAAAGCATCCAATTTCATCAACTTTTTAACCAAAATATCGACATTATTACACAAAAAAACACACATACTTTTGAGGGGCATTTAGAAGCACTACATCTTTGCCTTGTACAATATACTAAATTCATAAATATTCAAAAATATAAATAAAAAAAAAGTCTCAAAGTATATATATATATAAAAACATAAATCTTACACACCATGATATTTATTTAATAAAACATAAATTTTACACTGACACGGACACGTAAACACCCTTATAATAATTTAATAAAATAAAATAATTAAATGTAACCATGTTTCGGTATTCGGTTGAGTTACTATTGTGAAACGTAGAGTAATTTTGATGCATTTGGTGAGTTAGATGCCTGCAATGGTAGTGTGTTCGAAACTTGTTTTTGCACCAACATTTGTCTCTCCTGGAAACCTTGTCACCTGAGAAATAACATTGTTTTTGTTTCTGTTACCAATTTTTGGACTTAAACTTTGTTTCTCATATGTTATGAATGCATCACCAGCAACTCTAACAGCTTTGTGGCTCTTGCATCCCAACAAGATACCGGGACGCAGCCTCGAAAACTCCCTACTGACCTTTGGTTTCAATGGACTCCTTCTTGTAAATTCAGACATTTGATCTTCACTGTCTGACATAACTGCAGCACTAGCAGTGACTACACTCCATTCTACGCTCGCCTCACTCGGCGCGTAACAAGTTGAAGCAGCATCTGATGTCCTTCTATTGACAATATTGCTCGAACATTTTTCTTTCAGACTCTCAATCTCAAACAAATCAGAACTTGCATCGCTTCCGGCATCATCATCATAGTTTGCATCAACAATTTCTTCCATTTTGGAAGGAAATACCAACCTTTTATCAATGCTTAAGGAACTTCTTTTGTTATTGATCAATATTGGATATGGTGATCCAAACACTTCAAGTGATTTTCTTGGTGTATTTTCTTCATCTAATGGAATTTGCATTTTAACAAGGTGCTTTCTTGAGTTAGAAGCAAAACTATTCTTTTCACTGTTTAATCCTTGCTTTTGAACATCTTTATTGATGAAAAGTTCTGAGCTAGGCTTTCTTATTTTAGTCGAAAGATCATCGTCAAGATGATGATTGAAGACCTTTTTTGGTGTTGTTTTTCCATGAACTGTACCATAGTTAGAATTTTTGTTGTTAAAAGTGATTTCTCCTGCATGATCACTAATATCAACAGAATTCTTATCAGAACAATAGCATTTGAGACCAAGTCTTGATAGAACACTCTTAGAATACACCTTATCTTTGCTATTTTTCTCAGAATCTTTCTTTAAGAGTGCATTTTGGCTGGTCCATGTTGATACAGAACTAATACTTGGAGTTCCATACTCAACTTGGTGCTTTGTAGAAGCTCTTGGAGTTTCAACTACTTTTCTATTGAAGTATTTTTCAGCTCCAAATACTCCAATTTCTCCACTTTCTTCTATCTTTTGGACTTGATGTAAAGGAGAGTTTCTTTGGTTGATAAAGGGATTGATTATTTGGCTTGATTCACCAATTTTTACTATAAAGTTCTTTTCCTTGTTATTCAAGTATGGAGAGAAAATAACATCATTTGAGTTAAAAGTTTGCATCGGAGAGATTACAGAAACAAAGAGAGAAAATGAGAAAGACAGTAGAATATTTGAAGTTTGAAAGGAAAAGTAATGATATGTAATGAAAAGGCTAAAGGTGGAAAGAGGAAAGGAAAATGGACAAGAGAAAATATAAAGTAAAAGAATGAATGGATGAGAAGTGTCCTAAGGAGTTGTACTAAATGTTTAGTAGGTATCAAGTTTGGGGTCTTTATATAGTTAGTTTTAAGGTGGATTTAATTCTATTAAACTGTTTCTTAATAAATAATATTGGTCTTTAGAAATAATAAATTCTATGTTTCAACTTGGAAACTTCATCTTCTTCCATTAAACTAGGAAACCAAAATCCATCATCATCCACTCGAAACAAAATTTCATTTTCTTTCATCAAACCTCGAAACCAAATCTCTATAGTGAATTATAAAGTGAGTTAATTTGTTTGAAGGTGTTTAGGTAAATAATGAGTCACTCAATCTTAAGTGAAAAAATATTTGGTTGGTATATTTGGTTGGTTAGGAAAATTATTTGAATTAACAACGGTCAACGCTACATTTAAGACATAAAAGTAGTTTGTTTATAAGTCTTATTATAACTTAGATTGTTGATACTCTGTTCGTTCCATATTATAAGAGAAATTTACTTTTTAGATTCATTTTATAATTAATGTATTTGATATATATAAATTAGATATATTAATTATTCAATAAATTTTAAAAATGAATTTCTTTTATAATACTCCCTCCGGTCCTTTTTATAAGGAAGACTTTGCAAAAAAAAATGGTCCTTTTTATAAGAAACACTCTTTAAATTTAAATTTTATTAAATACATAATTCCATTTCTACCCTTATTAAATAAAATTAGATAACACTTTTCAATGTAAGTGCATTAGTTACATAAACATACTCCCCATGCAAAAATTTGGAGGGAAAGTTGCAAGCACACAAACAGGCGCTACCTAAATTCAATATATTCACGTTTTCTTTTTCTTCACTGTAATATTCTATTGTTTCTCACATTAGCATACACATGGAATCTCATAACTCTAATGAAGATGGATTTAAGTCTTCTGCTGGGAAACGAAAATTTCATATTGATTTGAACAAGTTTCCAGATATTGAAGATTCTTTTGAAGTGGAAAGTGAGACTATTGAACATTCACTTGATTCTACTACAACTGTTGAAGAGATTGTTGAGGAATCTGATATCGAGGGTGAGGATGAAGGTAGACAACCAATCATTAGAAGGAAGATGCAAATATGGAATGAGAAAGATGCAAAAGAAATTACAGAGGTAAATTCTAGAGATGGTTCTCACTCAACTTCTGGTTCCTTGGACATGATTGATAATCTTCATGAACTTAACAAAGATGCAGAGGAAGAACTTAACAAAGATGCAGAGGAAGAAGAACCTTTCAGCCTTGAACGTGAAGCTGTGAAGGATGAGGTTATGAATGTTCTGCGAATTTATTTTCATCGAGTTTAGTTGAAAAGAAATGTTATGGATATTTTGTTTTTGAAATATGGAAATTTTATGGATATTGATAAATCCTTTTCATTTTAGTAATGTTCTTGTGGTACTATGTTATGTCGAACATCGAACAGAATAAAACTTTCACTTTTGATTTACTATGTTAATTTGAACAAAACAAAACTCTCGTTATTTTTATACAAAACGAAATTGAAATGTCAATACACAACCTCGGCGCCACTGTAACGATAAAATTATACTCCAAGGCAATACATAAAGTCTTATGTTACTGCTACTACAAGTAACTTTGGTAAAGTTTTGTGGAGTTAATTAGTACATTCATATACAACAAAAAAACCACTTGCAAAATTATTCTGTTTAGTTAAATCTTAGGAGGTTACATTTGCATTTGATTTTAGGCTATTTATCCATTGTGTTGTTTTCATGGTCATTTATTTTTTGTTTGAACAAGTTATCTAGTTTGGAGACTTTAAAACATTTTAGTTAAAATTATAGAAAATTCTGAAAGTAGCTCTCAAGAGGCAATATAAATTAAAACAAAGATTCTGAAAGTAGCTCTCAAGTAGCTCTGAAAGTAACAATATAATGAATCAAAACATTTCATTTTCATCCAATCAAAAATTCTGAAAATTACAAAACAAACACCTGCTAATTAATCATCAAAACTTTGAAGATATTCAGTGACTTCTTGAATTAACAAAGAATCACAACTTAATTGAGTAGGTATACAACCTTGGTTATACATCATGTCTTTCTTCATGTGAGGAATTTTGTACTTGTTTGAACCCTTGATCTTCATTATCTCAATCATGCATGATTGAAGAGTAGAAAATTTTTTATCAGATTGTTGACAGGAAAAATCATCAAATGCTTTTTGCACCGCATCAATAAGTTCGTCAATTGAATTCACCGCTTCTTGTTGTTGCAAAGACTGTATGGCATTGAAAAAGCCTAAGTCCAATACATTCAAATCCGGTGAATTTGGTGGTTGGCAAGTCATTTGAATGTCAAACCCATCTTCACTTGCTGCTCTACAAAAATCGGGATCATTTGTAGAAATATGTGACCTTGCATTATCTTGCTGAATGTAGATTATCTTCCCTACATCTTCTCTTGGCCACATACTCTTAATGGCTGGTAGGACTTTACTTATTAAGAAAGATTTATTCACCTCTCTTGTAACCGAAGTTATAGGTTTCCTTTCTAATGTCCCTGCTACTCTATTGACACTACTTCTTCTAGCTGGTTGTTCATACACAAATGGAAATATACCAATCTTCCCTGAGAACGTCACATTCTTTTCATCGTCAAACCTAGGTCTAGCCACAGCAGCTAAGAACATAAGCTTACCAATAAAGTTCTTGCTTTTGCATGTTCTATATGGCTCTTCTTCATCCGAAAGCAAGTAATAATTGTTTTTGGTTTTGGTAATATAAAACCATTTTTCATCGATGAAAACAATATTATGCATAGAAATAAACTTTGGATCATGAGGCAAGCTGTTACTATCAAGCATATCCTTACAAAACCTTAAACGATTAATCATGTTATCCTCTTTTAAATACGGCTTAAGCGTACTTGAATGACGTCGTATAACTCCTGACTTTTGCAACCTTATCAATGACGTCTTAGGAATGTTAAGAGCATTAGATAGAGCTTGATAGGTTGATCGTTTTGATAACGGTACTTGACGCATTCTCTCAAAGTCCAATTGGACCCTTTTCCTTCCACACAATGTTTTTCTATGACAAACATTACCTGTGTCCTTTACTTGATTCCATATACGGTAAATGACACTTCTATGAACATTGTATAGTGCAGCTATTCGTGGTATTACTCCATATTTATGTGACTTCCCATCCGGACTCAAACTCAACAGTATATGATATATAGCCTTCCTTTGTTCATTAGTTAGAAATCCCCGTTTTCTTGAATTGATTTCACTTGTCAATGAGTCTGCACAAATGATAAAAATGTGATGGAAGAGTTAAAGAATCAATTAAAGGTGATAATTTTGCCTACAAATAGTATAATTTCATGCATGTATTTTCATCCATAAACATGATAATTTGCATATATGTATTTCATGCTACTGTACATAATTTCAACCTACTTTTTATAATTTCATGCTACTCATAATACACTTGTAATTCAAAAAAATACGAAAGAAAATTAAAATAAGAAAAGAAAATAAAATGATAGTGTCACTACTATTATTTGAAATAATTACTCACCATTTTCAATTGAAAAAGAATCATTGTTGCTTGTTTCTTCTTGAATGGAAAAAAATTGATTCATGTTACCTTCATTATTGACATATGGGAAATGAGTTAACTCAAACTCAAATTCAGATGATTCTATATTTGATGGCACATCTTGGTTCATGTTATCTTCAACAATGAGATTTGATGGATGATTTAGCTCAAACTCAAATTGAGGTGTTTCAATATTTGATGGTGCAATAGACTCACATATAGAAGATGATTGTTCTTCTGGAAAAGAGAAAGTGATATTTAAGTCTATGTCAAGAGGCATTTTTTAGGATGAATGAAAGTAAATATGGAAAGCTCAATCTCTTTATATAGAGAGTGATTGAAAGTGTAGAGTTTTTGTGATAATGTTTCAAAATTTAACCTTTGAAATTTCAAAAGTTTACTTGCTAAAAATTTGGAGGTAAATTGCTAATATAAAATGGTGGGAAAGCCAAATTAACAAAAGTTTTGTTTTTCTGAAATTAAATCCAACGTGAAGCTTGAGTAGCAATGGAGTAATATGTGTGGTAATTAACATAACTCTTCTTGTGAATAGCAAAAGATATTATTGGAATTAAGCATAGTGGTGTATTGATAATTACAAGAGACAAGAATAATAATGACTATGATTAATATTTGAAGGTTAGTTTTGGAATGAAATAATCATTTTTAAAATTATTAATAAAAGAATTAGCTTCCTTGGTTTGTGTGATTTTTTCAAAGTGTTCCTTATAAAAAGGACCGGAGGGAGTATGAGACAGAAGAAATACCATGTATAACATAAATTTTTAAAATAACTATAATACTATAGCTAAATGCAACTTAATTAGGATATAAATTATGCTAGTCTGCATGATTGGTTTTTTATGGTTGTATTACATGTATTTATGAATCATAATTATTGAAATTTGATTTTATTTTTAGAAAGTAGTTATAGATTGTCGTTCGAAGAAATATAATAGATTAAGTGCAAAGTATATGCAGTGATATAAATTAGAGAGACTTGGCATTTACCTTCTCAAATTTTCCTTGTGTTAGTTCGATTTCCCCTTGTCTAGATGTGTCGCCCGAGTCTCCATGTTTCCCGTCCATGACGCGCAATCGCATGTTGAGTGTATAATGGGTCAATAAAAGATCCATAGGAAGTTTTGGGACTTAATCGGTCCTCCTAGATGTCAGGAAAACCATCACTCACGTTTAGAGTGGTTGTAAAATTCTAGGGGGCTTAGTTCAATTCCATGGGCTATAAATACATCTCT